TTGCGGTCAACTAGGAACACGATACAACTATCAGATAGTGATGGAAGGATAACGGTTTGTGTGCATGAAAGCGTAAACTGTTGGCTCAGTACGAAACGACATAGGGACATGATGTCTACGTAGAGTTGCTCTTTTGATCCTCGGCCAGTAGCAAGTATGGGGAGATAGTCCGCTTGATGCAACTTATTTGTGGTCTCGAAGAAATAATGATGTATGATGTATGGTTGGGTACGCATTTGCTGTAGATCATCGCGTTGTGAGCGTTGCAATGGCAGTGGATCACGTGATGCGCATCACGATGATATGGTGCCATGCCCTTAGCGTTAATCGCACTACTGATTCTATCTCCTGTGGCCATTTTGCAAACCATCTTGAGAAGAAACGAATACATGTGCAAGAGCATGCTTTTGTTCCCACTCATACTTGTAAATGGGATTTCATTGGTACTTCTGATCGCCTTTGCAATGCATATCAGATTCCAATCGTTTCCTCAACCTCTTCCGCATGGGTATCAAACCATTTCTGTGTGAAATTTTGACTCTTATCGGTTTCGGTGGTAGGTGACCTTATCCTTCATTTGATCTTCACCATTACTATGATCACCCATTGTATCGGGTGAAAAATTGTTTACGAATGCCCCCAACATCTGGGATGTAGAGGTGTAATTGCTGTGATAGCGCCGCAGACCGATACATGCCTGCGTAATGGCCATCGAGCTATCCCGCATCCCATTTGTTTCCACGTGCTGAACTGTATTTCTGTATCGTTAAAGTCGACTAGACGATTTTTTCCCTAAATTCTGTGCCTTATACGCTTTCAAGATTGTTCTATTGGAAAGTCGCTGCAAACAACTTACCCTTGTTTGGTTCAACACGTAGCCTTGTGCACGTTGATGCTAAATCCTCTCTGTAACGAAAGCCATCGGTCTTACAGATATTTAAACCAGTTCCTTGCTGCTTCTTTTGAGCTTCTCTCATGACATATTCTCGATTCACTCACCACAGACATTCTGTCCAAAATCGATTGCTTTTCTTCTCTATATTCCCCTTTTCTTAATCCTCTTGACAGAATCCGGGAGAGGTGTTGACATAACTCAGGGTCTGAGTGTGGATACCCTGACGGAGTTGATGGACAAGAAGCCTGATTTGGCTGAACGTCTGGCTGCGCATCTTCCGCCCATCGATCCCGAAGATCAGCAGCTCACCCCCACCCAGGCTGTCATCACCAACATCCGTTCACCCCAGTTTAAGTATGCTCTAAAGGTGAGTCGAGGTGGCTCATGGCGATTCCGACAACGACATTCGAATTTAGGGGTCTTTCGGCTCTACATTTGGTTATGATAGCAATTGATTGAATTATTTACTGAAGCTAGGTGAAAATATGTTTATGTTTCCTTTTTAAAGTATTTTCTGAGCCAGAATACTGCGAGTATGGTTGAAATCTCGCTTCATCCTACTTTGATCATTTCTTGTGCTCTTTGTTTCTCTTGTTTGCGCTTTCAGCGTTCACTTAAAACTAAAACCCAAATAAATAAAGCGGCCGCCTTTGGTAGTACCCATCCCCTTCCTTCCTTGCAGTCTTTTTCGGAAGCCTTAGAATCAGGTCAACTGGGTCCAGCTCTTTCCAAATTCGGTCTCGATGAAGAAGTCATCAAGTCCGCTGACACTGGCGGTAGGTTTTGATCTCTAAAACAGAATGCTCCCTAACGACTCGCCTCCTTTCTAAACCGTAATTCTCTCCTAGATTTGGAGGTGTTCGCTTCTGCGTTGCAGAAATCTCTAGGTACCGAAAAGCAGCAACCTGAATCGACTGCTACCTCGATCGGCGAAACTACAAATAAACCGGAAGACGACGGCGGGGCCGACGAAAAGGACGATGAAGGAGGGGAAAAGATGGACACCACTTAGGTGGATTGATGCCAGTCCGCCTCCTTCCTCCCTCTCCAAAAAATAAGTACCTACGCCTTCGTCCCGGTCATTCGAACCACGCGGCCGACTCCCATTTTTTGCGTTACCCGCAATGATCAGATTGCGTACCACTTTGTGATGTTCCTCCACGTCTCCCTACCAATTATTCATTTTACCCACTTGAAGGCAAAGCGAGGTGTCACCGCTGCTGGTCTAACTGTCCCTCAATCGTTGTCTTCTCTTCTGCGGTGCCTCGCTTCGTCAAGCTCTCCCTACTTTCCTGTCAGATGCTGCGCACCAGTTTGCTTGCTATTGAATTTTTCTGAATTTTCCTCCGTAGGGTTAGACTGGCCGAGCCGAGGTTCGGGTGAAAACGCCTTTTCCACCTTCAGAAATTCGGGAGTTTTGGGGCTTTGAGTCGTCTGATGCATCCAGGCTGCTAGGCTTCTGCTTTGTACGCCTGGCTGTGGTTTTCGTCCTCATTCTGTGACCACACCGCTAACGCTGCACTTGTGAGTGCAGCTTATGTACGTAGCTAGATTTAGGGTGGGTTGTGTTCAGATGATCAAGTTTTGACGTGTCCTCGTGGGGTCAGTTTTGCAGCACGCATGCGCGATGTGGTCAGCGTCGGTCTGACCATCTACGGTGATCGCATCCAGTCGCGGGCTTCGGATGCGGTGTGGGCTTATTAGCTTGGTAGGCGTGAGATGGAGGAGTAGAGGTTTTAAAAGTGTCCCGGAGGTGATGGTGGGGCGCCAAGTTGAGGAGGCTGCAGGGTTTGAGCTAATTTTCTCGTATTCATAGTGCAGGAACAGAGCCAGGATGTAGAAAGG